CTTGGATGGCTTTAGAGACTGATCGATTATTACACCAAGATCCCTTTCCTTCGTAACACTGTTAAGGTTATTCCTATCCAAATTATACTTATATTTCAAATTATGATAAACCACATGCATGATCTTGCATTTATTATAATTAAAACCCATCTGCCATTTATTTGCCCAACTCACTAAATGATCTAAACCCTTTTGTAAATCAGCATCCTCCTCCTCACAGCCAGCAACACCCAACATCTCAATATCATCTGCAAATTCAAGTAATTGATTAACTATTCCTTCATATATGTCATTGATGTAAATCAATAAGGGCATAGATCCTAAGACTGAACCCTGAGGTACACCATTTGTGACATTAATCGAGTTTAACTGAACTCCATTTGTAACAACCCTCTGCTTTCTTCCATCCAGCCACTCTTCTATCCAATTTGTTAACTTATCCCCAACACCTATAGATAATTTTTTATAAGCTTTTTATATGGCATCTTGTCAAATGCACTCTGAAAATCCAGATACACCAAATCTACACCCTTACCCTCATCTACTTAAGCACTAACTTTTTTCAAAGAATGTCAAAAGATTTGTAAGGCAAGATTTTCCCTTAGTAAAACCATGTTGACTACTCAATAAAATTCTAAACTTTGTTAAATAACTTTGCAAAGCATCTTTTAACAAACTTTCCAAAACTTTTCCCACAACTGATGTAAGACTAATGGGTCTATAAGTACTGGGACAATTTTTTATCAACTTCCTTGAAAAGAGGAGTTACATTATTTAAGTTCCAATCCTCTGGTACCTGCCCACTATTCAAGGACTGACAAAAAATAATAATAAGTGGCTCACATATCCAATCTTTAACCTCCTTCAAAACCCTTAGGGAAATACTATCTGGCCCAGGAGACTTATTGTTTTTTCAACTTCCCAATTTTTTCTTAACTAGCTCAGAATTAATGCAGTCATCTTGTTTAATCTCGTTTCCATTTATCAACTGTTCAAGATGTGGAATACTGCTTAAATCTTCGTTAGTAAAAATCAAAGAAAAATCAAAAGTAAATTGAGTTGGTGATCTTCAACACCACCCTTCAAACTGTAGTACACCACCCCTTGAGAGTGAAATAAATTATATATTAAATAGGTTTGTACCCTCACTATTTCTCAATAGGTTTACCTATGTAAATACATAAATACAGGCAAATATAATATTTTTTTAATTTGAAAAATTATTTAAATCAAGTTTAAAAATTAAAATAAAATCTCTGTCCTGCTTAAAACATTCTAAGTGAAGCCTTTTATGCTACTCTATGTGAAACATCCAAACTGACCTTTCTTGGTGTTCAGTTCATCTTCACTTGACAAAACATCTATTTCTTCATCTGGAATGTACTCCTCATCGCTGTCCTGCTGCCAATAACCCTCATCCTCCTCTTCATCATCATAGCAAACATCTCCATTTTCAAAATCACTCATTTCTGAATCACTTCTATAGTGAACATTAAGACTAGGGAACTTACTCTTCACAGCTTTCGATCTTCTGCCAATTTTTGATCTCATTTTTAGTATCTTTTGTGCTTTATTTCGTTTTCGAACAGTTAAAGGTGTATATTGTTTAGAGGTAGATGGCTGAGAAGGACTTAAGCTCCCTTCATATCTATAAGAGTTGTTGTCAGAACCCTTACTTTGTGTTTCATCTTCTCCTGTTTGTGGAAACTTACAACTTTCAACTATACTTTTATTGATTTTTGGAGATATTTTCTGTACCATGTTCATTTTATTTTCAAATTCTCCAATGAGAAACTTTTCAAAATCTGTAATTTTTGTGTCAGATAGAGTTTTATGTGCTTTCCTAATCCCTTCACAGCTTTCACCACCAGAGGGAACCACAGTACCAAAAGGAGTCATTTGTCCAGTACGAATCAGTCTCTCTTCTTTTGAATCATTTCCATCAAAAATCTTTTGCAAGGAACTTCCTAAAAATTATTTTAAAAAATACTTTTCAGTGCTACGTAAACATTATTGTATTTATTATACACAAACTTGTGAGAGAGAGAGAATGAAGATTATGTAAGGTACAAACCCACTAGTGCAAACATAAATATATTTACAACTAGTTCAACTTTTCTACGATTTAATCTTGCTGTTTTCATGCACTTTGGACACAGTTACTTCTCTACACATATAAATAGTTTAAAAACAAGCTGCAAAAAATGTAATTAAAAAACTACATATTTTGGCAATTTCTGCATAAATAATCATATTTTTTATGACCCCTTCATAATTTTTCTGTACTTTTTATATAGCAAATGTCAGGGTTTTATGTATATGTGAGTGGGCTGAGATTCTTTTACAGTAGGTGTCTGTGACTTGTTGGTGAAAAATTCGAAACAATAAACGGACAGCACGCAATCTGCTTGTATTAAAATAATATATTCAAAAGAAGTCAAACATATGTAAAAAATTTCTTTACACTATAGAATATCACAGTTGTTTCTAAAGCTTTAAATAATTATCTTTTTTTGTCAAAAGTCCACACAGGCTGATTCATTTACTTTAGAACCCAATTAACAAGATTAATTATTCTTCTCTACTCTTATCACAATAAAGTGAATTATTCACTGACAGCAAATAATAAATAAAACCAAAATCTACACACGTTTATTTATATAAATAAAACCAAAATCTACACACGTTTATTTATATAAATAAAACCAAAATCTACACACGTTTATTTATACAATGTAGGAAACTCTTTCATGGTTTTTATACTGCTGTTACTTTAAAATATTAACATAAGAAGAGATTCCTGACATTGACCTATATAACAGGAAGAGTTTCCTGTGTTCTATTTAAAGATCAGTTGTTTATGTGTAAATTTACATCCATGTGAACTCACAATAATTACAGACATAAAACCAAAAGATATTTTTAAAACCTGACAGAACAAATAATGAATTATTATGTCCCTTGATTACTATGCATAATCTATGTACATAGTAGTGTTGATGTTATCATCACTTTCTGCAAACAATGTATCCTGAAACACAATGACTAAGTTTTATTACTTTTTATCTTCTTGAAGTGATAAAATTATCTTAGCAAAGTGAATCATTTAATAAAACTTTCATTCTTTAAATCAGTTTTTAGGCTAGTAGATGTGGTTCTCCACCACATGAATCAAACTGATAATACTATAAGAAGCTTTCTTCTCTGAATGTACTTCTATTTGACAGAAAAAAACGATATAAGGTGTGGCAAAAAGTGAACCTAGGGTTTAATAGTTATCTACATATAGAATCACTAAAAATATTTCACACTTAAATTTAGCTGTTAAGCTGTATAGTTGTAAACTGATTCTAAAAATCAATCAAAGTTAATCTTCATAACTGAATGTAAAAAAGGCTTATATATGTTATCTTGCACACATACAAACATATATATATTCTTAATAACACTGCTGTAAAATTTTATATCATGGTTGGGTCCTTTTGACTTATTTCATAAAATAATGCCAAGTCAATTTACATAACAAAAAAATTATTCATTTCTTCAGTATCGTTTATTATAAGTTACATTCCCTTGTAGGCCAAACCTCACAAACAAGGTTTCAACAGAAACTAATATATGCCTAACTTACAAACTTGCATAATTTGCTTGGTAATTAAGTAATAATAAACATACAGTATCTAGCTTATCAACTGAATCACAGAAGAATGGATTTTCACCACTTGATTCACTAACTGACACTGAATTGAATCACTAATTTAACCAGTCTGGTATATAAACAAAATCTAGTTTTCTGTGTAATACAGAAGTCTTCCAGATCTGACTAAGGCCTTAACTTTTATGAAATTTCTAGATATTCCATCATCATGATCTCATGACTGCTTCCTTCAGCAAATAAACATCTAAATTATAAGATGAAAATGTAACTTACGAGGATATTTATTATAAAAAATTTCAAGGTTGAGACCTTGCTTTACCTTTGTTATCCACTTGGTTAGACTCTTCAGAATTCTTATGTTGGAGTTCATTTGCCAGTTGTTGCAGCTGAATCAGCTGATTAATACAAATATTATATCACCATAACATGTTTAACTTTTGTTTAAAAAACAAAAAACATTTTCATGACTATTTTTGTAAATGTTAGTGACTGTTTATTAAATAAACTATTTTAATTCCTAAATAGTTTATTCTCTTTATAGGATTTTAGTTTAATTCTTAACACTTCATTGAACAAAGTTTAAACTTTTTGTTGAAATTTTAACAGGGGAGGGGGGCAAAATAGTGTGAAATTGTGAACTGAATAAAAAATTCATATACATGTGCTGAATGAACAAAGAAAGAATTATGTTTTTAGATTTTCCAGGGGGGTAAAAGTGTGCGTTATTTTGGCAGAATACAAGATTCTGGAAATAGAGGAAACACACACGACATTCACACTTACAACTAGTAAACACTATTCTGTTAAAAGAAAAGACAAGATTATTATGACAACTTACACAAACTTTTACTTTCATTTTTTTTTTACTTAAAAAAAAAAAGTTTAACTTTGAAATGATAGACATCAAGTTGACTAAAGATTTTAAAATATGAACAAATTAATGTCAAGTTCGTGTTGGTTTTGTTTTTCATAAAACTAACTCCAACCCATTATAAGTCACTCAATATAAGTACCCATCATTTAAGCAGGATTATTCAAGATTTCTAAGGGTGACATTTAAGGAAACAGTAACACTTTTATTTACAATATACCAACTAGAAGAAGTAAATACTGCTACTCAACAGTGTGTTCTATAACAATGATTATATTTATGGAAATTGGTATAAATACTAAAACAGTGACTGACTTCAATACCTTAGTTTCATGTTTCTTTTTGATAGTATCAACTTGCTTCTGGCATTCTGAGCTCAAAGAGTTTGCTTCACAATCAATCACAGCCAAGGTGTTTTCAATATGACCAATTTCCTGCTTTAAAGACCTACAATTAAAACAAATTATATGAGCACAACACAAAATAACAATCAATGTGTCACATAATTGCCACAATAAATTATGTCGTATTTACAACTTTAAAGGTAAAGATAGATAAGTGTATTTTGTTCTACAAATAAAGAAAAACTTTAAATTTCTCTTGACTAACATTATTGTACATTATGTCTGAAAAACATGTTTTGAAATCCAGAAAAGAACTAAAAGGCTGAAAAAAAAGATGCTACTATATATATATATATATATATATATGTGTGTGTATGTGTGTGTGTGTGTGTGTATATTTAACTTACAAAACTCATTGTTTACAAGAAAATACAAATACTTTAAATAATTAACTTAAGTTTTAATTTGAACTGATATGTATTTTCCAATATACATAATCAAATTTATAAACTTTTGTCTTAGAAATTGATATTAAAGAATAAGATTTAAAAAACAAGAAAGTCTGAAATTGATACAAATAATAATAAGACAAATTATTACTCTAGAAAAGTGAGAATGCATAGAAACAGCAAATTTTAGTTTTAAACTTAAAAACAAAATGTAGATTAAATGTTTTTTGATGTAATACCTGATAACAGTTTCTTCCTTTTCAGCTGTCTTTCTTTTTTCTTCTTCTTTCTGCTGCTTAAAAGCTTCATCTACTTGAGCAAGAACCTCTTTCTCAAAATCAGACTGATTATATGCACAAACCCCCAAACCTAATAGTTCCTCAGCTTCCTCTTCCACAGGAATCATTGGAATGTTTGTCTTATCAATCTTGAAGGAATTATCTGTTCCTAATCCATCATTAAGGTTCTTTGCCAAACCATCTTCTTCAGAACGAGCACCAAATCCATGTTTATCATTAACTGTAGTGATATCTTTAGCTTGAAATTTAACATCCTCACAATCCCCATTATTCACCACACACAAATGTTGTTCTTCATCCATTGTGATTCCTGTGATGTATGAAAGATGTCAAATAATTAGCTAAATTGTAAGTAGATACACATCTAAGTATGACATTAAGTTATTTTAAACAATAATCTTACAAAATATAACTTATTTATAACTGCTTAACTATAGCTTATATTATCATACAAACTTCTTAACTTTCATTTAAAATTTCCAACTAATAATTACTTTTAGGCTAGACCACACTTGTTCTTTAACAGGAGCTACTCTTGGCTTATAGCAAAAATACTTTTATAAATATAAATTATAAGGCCCAAAAAATAAAATATAGACAACATGAAACCATTTGGTCCTTCAAGCCGTTTTTTCACACCTATCTTTGGGCAAAATAAAAATTTAAACCCACCCTTTACCTGTCATGAAATTGTTTATTTCCTTCTACCACTGCCAATAGTAACTCACTCCATAAGCTAATCACCCTGTTATGAAAATAAAACTGTCTTACTGGAGCCAAGCCTGTTTTTATAAATCTTAAACTTGAGTCCTCTCATCCAAACACAGCACACATAAATCTTGAAGTCTTTGTCCTATCAGTCACTCAGATAATCTTCTAATTTCAACAAAATTATGTCTTGCTCTTCTTTTCTCAAGAGAAAATAAAATATCTTAAACCTATCCTCATAACCAGAGTCATCCTATCAGCACTCCTTTGAATCCTGTTCAATAACTTGAATAAGTCAATATTCTTTCATAGATAGGACACAAACACCATAAACAGCATCCCAGGCGAAACCCAATTAGTGGTTTATATAGACAATTACCTTTACTTATAATCAATAAATCTTTTAAAATACTCTTCACTCCCAACCTTCTTCAACAAACAGAAAACTAATCATTAAATACTGCCTTGATCCCACCAAATATCCTTCAACCTTTTTTTAAACTCTTGTAAAGTTCAGCTTTTACTGTTCTGATAGCAATTTTATCTGACTTTTCTAAGTTCTAAATTAAATTAAAATTAATTATCCTCCAATTTTTTATGTAATTGTTAATTTATAAACTTATAACTAGAACACCTAAGGATGTGGAAAGTGATTAGGATTGAAGTTGAACTTTGATGATAAATATGAACTAGGAATATAGCCATCAAACTCAGAGCAGCTGCATATGAGGTGGGGAGGGGAACTTTTCAATCTGTCCTACTAAAAAATGCATTAAGATTAGGAAAATTACTCTCACTCTCAGGAAACCAGGAGAATGCATAAAATGTAATACACAACTCAAGTACTTACAGGGACCTAAGGTCAACACTCTTTCCCAGCCATATTGGGTGCATCTGTGGCACACATTCTCTCACTTTGCCCATTCAAATAAACTTTGCCTACCCTTATCCCCACTTTCAATTTGCCTCCTACTGAGTCTTAGTATAAGGTGAAGCTCTACAGAAATGTAGGACTAGGAGTTATAGTTATACTGTAACTTTTGTTTTTTGTTCGTAGGACTAAGGGTACGATTCTGTCGATTCAGGGCCCAGTGACAAAGGCCTGAAGTCCCACTATTAGTAGTAGCAGTACAATTTACAAAATAGCAACTACCAACTCAGTAACTAAGTTGTAACACTGAGCAATAGGACACAGTTTTCACGTGTTACTTTAATATTTAATTCAATTTTAAATATTATTATTAATATTGTTCATAATGAATATACATTAAGAGTTAATAATTAAAAAAGCAGCCTTACTTACTTAGAATAAATGTGACCGATATCAAGGGCCTCTAATAAAGTACATTATTTCAATCAACACTCAAAGTATAAAGTTATCAAGGGTTAAAGAACAGCAATTGATTACATATCCCACAACTACAAACTCAGTTATGTAATCGCTGTTGTAGAGGCCGCTCTGGGCGTATTGTGCTTTTTAATAAATGTCTGATACAGAACGTCATTATCAAAATATTTAATAGCCAATTGTCAGTTGGTCACGCTCTGTATCTCCTCAATGGAGATTATATATTATATATTATAATTGTCAGATATACAAGACTTTTTAATTTAAATTTAATACGTGAATTATGATTTAGGTAGTTATAAAGAGCCAATGTTAAATTCAATATTTTTAGACGCGATAATTTATCGCAGGTTTTCCTATGTGGCTGTTTATGAATCATTTGTTGTATAATTCAGTTGTTGTGAATTAACATCACGTTACTCGAACTTTCCAAATTTTTCTCGTTGCAGTATTGTTACATTATAATGTCTTGTATTTTGTAGAAAGTTCTAGAACTCAGTCGGGCAATATGTCTATATATATAGGCGATCAAGTTAGAAGGCCTGTCAACTTTCCCGATTTCGGCGGGAATTTCCCGATATGGAGTCCTGTCTCCCAATCTCCCGACACGTGACGATCCACTATGTCATATGGGCCTTCCCGTGGAGAAGACAAATTAGGAGACTTCCATTTGGTTTTCCTGGGATTATACAACCATACCTTGTCTC